GGGGGGGGTGGGGCGGGGGTGGGGGGGGGGGGGGGGGGGGGGGGGAGTCCTAACCCCCGTTCGATTTCTGAAAAAAATCACACCAGTAGTCCCCACATGGAATTAATGGTCTAAATCATAGTCCTAAATCGTAAAAAAATTGCACCGTTCGCCTTGTAATATACCAAAAATTTTCGGGCCCCACTAGGACCCGAGTCAGTTCCCCATTACTTTGACAGTCGTCCCATATACTAACCGCAATGCTCCTACTAACCCAAACCTGTATTAATCATATGGGAGCCCGGGCTTCCATCCCTAGGATTTCTGTCACGCCGGCCTGATCATACATATACATATACACGGCCTTGCCGATCTCCAGTCCGAAGCTTTCCATTAAATGAAGTCATATAGCTCCGCAAGTTAATGGACACGTGTCAGTCATGGTCACGCTATGTGACTGTCCCGTACTTGGACATTATAAATAAATCAAGGGACACCGTAGATAGGTGAGTGTTTTTTCACGCCTCTCCGGCCAATATAAGGACTAGCCTCTATTCTGACTGACCGCAAGTCGGACCAGGCAGTGGTCACTATATAGACACTAGGACACTTAGTAACACAAGGGTCCCTTCTGGAGAGAGAGGTACTGTAAATGTTAATAGCTTTTTTAATGTACATTTTTGTATAGTACATAAAATTAGAGAAATATGCGTCTGGACGAATATTTTTAAAATATGTGTTTTTGTCTGTATTTTGATAAGAATGTTGTGTCGGGACCCACGATTTCTCTGATGAGCACTTAAAAACATTTGTTGTTGGTCTCTGTTTTGAAAAAAAAATGTAAAAGTGCCTTTTATCTTGGCTCAATCTTTAAACATCTTTAAACTTCCACAGTGCTTATCGTCGACCGTATGGTGTGTTAAAGGGCCCAGATGATGTCTTGTCTTTTTTAAGTGGATGACAAACTGTAATTTATAAATACACCTTGACAATGTCAAACGGATGAACCAGAAGAGACACATCGCTTATAAACTGCATCCCATTCAAGTAGGAAGAACGACAAACTGATGAGGTTAATCGCAATATTATTACTTTGGCCATGTTTTCCTCTTGAATATTTTAAGTATATATTTCCACATGCATCACCCTACAGCGTTTCGTGGTCAAGACGGCGAGTTTGAATAATCTTTATAACTTTTCTTAATATCATTCTTAAAAAAAAGTACACGCCCAGGGTGATTCAAAACAGAAGCATGATAATGGTTTTCACTTGTTTATGTTTATTGTTTTATACCTATGCGTGACTAACTACCATGAAGTTGACATTGTCGTTACTGCATGCTCTCAGCGTGCGCGGAATATATACTAGTACTAGGTGAGTTAAACAAGAATATATCCCCTTTATTAACAAGGATAACACTATCCATTGTATAAGTCTGTTATCGTATGGACTGTTGTCTCGAAGAAAGCAGCCATTTTAACCACTAGACAGCAACATTAGAAACAAAAAAAAAAAAAAAAAGAAAAAAAATGTTTGTCTAGCATTTAGGAAACATTACTTTACCCACAGGATAACTGTCCAGAGGTTAAAAATTTCATCCATTGGATATTTGACCATAGGACAGCGCTATCCAGTGTTGATGAAACTGAACCAATGTATACTGTATCCAAAGCCAAAATTACAATTTGTAGTCAGGAAAAATCTACATTTGTTAATATCAAGAATTAACGGTCATATCGTTCCATCAATTTATATTTCTAACTGGGTTAAGACGGTAGACAGGAATGACGATATTATCAACAGTGGGAGGATATTCAATAGTAGAAAAAGACCTTCGCGTAGGCGGAAATATGCGAGTCCATTCTTCTTCTTCTTATTATTTTGATGGGATTGACCTATATTTATGCTAATAGCGGGTGCATCATCTGGGTCAGTGACCGTTACGGTACATCACAAGGGTTCAACAGTTAGACCCCATTCCCAGAGATTAGATCGATCCAACTAGATCGACCTAACTCCCTGGGGGTTCACGCTAAATAGCTGTCAGCGGAGTGAGCACGAAAGTTAATTACCCCCTTACAACTTGTAGTAGGCGGGACGGACATTTAAGCCGGATTGTCTGACAGTAATCTAGTGAGACTCCCCACGGGGATAGATCGATCTAAAATTTATGGGAATGCGCCCTTACAAAATAAAAAGGGCTCGTTCCCAACGGTTGTGCTGCGTAGGTCGATCCAACACCGGGGTAACCTACGCTGACTTTGTGGATGCAATCAGATTAAACTATTAACACGCCCCCTCCTGGCGTTGCCAAGAAATTGTGTTCCACCAGGACGTAGGGAACAAGGGGGCGTGTCTGTCAGTCAAATTACACTCAGCGAGTATCTCCGCGGAGTTGGATCGATCTAGGTGAAATGTTAGGCCTCATTCCCATATACACCATACGTCTACGTAGATCCACCCTACTCTGTAAGGAGTCTAGCTGCTTGCAATCAGTTGAACAGATTTTATTTTCTAAAATTATTATTATTATTATTATTATTATTATTATTATTATGTATTTATTTATTTCTAGCAAGCACTGACGTCAGGCATGTGGAAGTTTACTCTGGGGCTCTTGACAGTGGTGTCACTCACGGCAGGTGTGTCCTGCACTCTGGAGCCCTGGGAAAGAAAGATCAGTGACGGACTAGGGAATGTCAACCTTGACACCTCAACAGGTAAAAGAGGAGGCGTTAACAACGAACAAATAAAATATTTTTTAATGGTAAAAACAACAAAGTTCACACTCAGTTATAGATAGACTCGGACGTACTCGACAATGTCAACTTTGACACCTCAACAGGTAAAGAGGATTAATTGAAAACAATAAATAAATAAATAAATAAATAAATAAATAAATAAATAAATAAATAAATAAAATATTTTTAAAATAACAAAAAACAGCAACGTTCTACACTCAGTTATCGATAGATTCGGACTCCGACATCTCAACCTTGACACCTCAACACGTAAAGAAGAGTGTTTAAAGAAAGAAAAAATAAATTGAATAAAACAGCAATGTAATACCTTCATTTGTCGATTAAATGCTAGTTTGTCTGGGTCCTAGTTTGCTATATAATAGTTTCTTTTACAAACCAACATGCATGAGTCACTTAAACTGTACTGCGTAGACGCACAAACACACAGAGCCAGTGCGCAATGCATGCTGCCTCATCTCGTGAATGAATATACATTTAACTGCCTACACTGTATAACCCAGTTATAGGACATCTAAGATGTCGCCTGTTACATGGTCCATGGCTATCCACTCGGCCTGGCTCCATATATAATGATAGGTTACTGTTCGGCGCTTAGCACTAAAGTACGTGCTGATGTAGACATGACTGCACTCTGCGACAATCCGTCCTTGTATAATACACACGTATTGCACAACCGTAATGCCTTTTGGTGTGTGTTGGGATTTTGGTGTCGTGCACAGGCGTCCGAGAGAAATGACCCGAGTCCATTCCGCTATGCCTTGGGTATATTCAGCGGAATATTCCGTGGCAATTAGAAAAATATTACTTGCTTTGGTACTTTTTGTAGTGGCAGCGAGTCACGAAAATAGTACAAGTAGTACACAATGTTAGTTATATTTATTACGTTATATTATACCTTATAATAATACGATTTTACAATTTCAAATTATCTTTATTTGGTATGTATGGATCTGTGTTACATTTTCCATAATAATAATAATAATAATAATAATAATAATAATAAACATCAGTCATTGTCTTATTATACGAATAGCATATTTGCTACGTATACCTTATCGTTTACTCAGACGAACTCCGTTTTTTCAATAGAGAGAGTAAACGAGGTGTATATGAAAGCAAACGATAATGAGAACCTTAAAATCTAAGTAAGTGAAGTGTGTAATCATCTATTAGTTAATTTAAAGTATCATTACCCGTTTCAGCAAACGCCGATGCTCAGGATTATTTCATCTTTGGTCTGAAACTGGTGATATCATTTTGGCATGACCTAGCGGAAGAGTCTTTCCGTAAGGCGCAGCAGCTGGACCCTGCGTTCGCCATGGCATACTGGGGCGAGGCCCTGTGCAAAAAGTGGTTTCTATGGAACAGCGACTTCCCGGACGACGCCAACGCCATCTTGCGTCGGATGGACGAGAACAACCCAACGATGAACGCTCATGAAACAATGTACATCGATGCCATACGGGCTCTTTTTAAGAATGCCACCGACGAAAATATTCGCCAAAGAGATCAAGATTTTTCGACCAAAATGGCGTCCCTGGTAGAGGCATACCCAGGCGACCACGTCGCAGCCGCCTATTACTCAATTTCGTTACTAGAAGTCAACAAACTAGACGAAGCCAGAGACGTTTTAACCAGTCTTTTGAAGGCAGATCCCAACCATCCCGCCGGCCTCCATTTTGCCTTACACGCCTTTGACTTCCATCAAGAGGGCGTGGCGGAGAAGGGCTTGGCTGCGGCGGACAGGTATCCCACGATAGTCTCCCAGGCGTCGCACGGCGACCACATGCCCGCGCACATCTACATAAGACTAGGGATGTGGAAGGAAGCGGTCAAGGTAGAGAGAGTTGCCCTGAAAGCGGGGGATGATTTCACGAACGAGAGAAAGAACGGGAGCGACTCTTACGACAAGTGGAACCGGTATCATTCTCTTGAGTACTTGCAGTATTATCTTTTACAAGTAAGTAGTCCCGGTGTAATGAAACTGAGGGCCCGTGTAATAGAAAGTCCGGCTTCCATGGTTAGGGTTTACCTGGGCCCCGTATCTCGAAAGCATCGCGCATTGCGACCGAGCTCAAGCGTCTCGATTCTATAACTCGCCCATACTCGCACCATACTGTATATTGCATTGTAGCCCCTATGTGATGTCGATATTCGCAAAACGCGATGCTTTCGAGTTAAGGAGCCCTGATCTTAGTTAACCAAAATCCAAGACGAAGCTTACCTGTACAAATGAATGAAAAGAGGACTCTCTATTTCTCTTTGTTACGTTACACCGGTCCCGTAAATATCCCCCTCAAAAAAAAAAGTTATGTTTAAAGTTTCTAATTTTGCAGAATATCTGCATCGCCTTCGTCGTCATCATCAATACCTTCTAAAACTGTATACGCAACTTATACATTGTGGAAAGTTTCCTTCAGCTCAAAGGCTCTATTCCCATAGATTTTAGATCGATCTATCCCCGCGGGGAGTCTCACTAGATTACTTTCAGATAATCCGACTTAAATGTCCGTCCCGCCTACTACAAGCTGTAAGGAGGTAATTAACTTTCGTGTCCGCCCGGCTGACAGCTATTTAGCGTGAACCCCCAGGGAGTTAGGTCGATCTAAAGTAGGTCGATCTAATCTATGGAAATGGGGTGAAAAAGCTAATTGAGTAAAGTTTATTAAAGAATAGGGTGATATAATACAGACTTGACATTTAATATGGAATATTTTTTCGAAATAATTTTTTATCAGTTTTTTCCTATTTTGCTGACTGATAAATGAAAATAAGGCTTAATATCGTGTTTTAATAACTTTATATTATCTCTTTGATGTCATTGTGACATCAGTTCATTAATGAAATTCGCCAGAGAAGCAAACAAAAACACATTGCCTATTCTATGTCATACGACTCCCATTAAAAGAGATATTTTGGATCTCCATATTTTCCAAATTATCGTCTGTAAAAGGNAAGAACGTATTTTTACCTAGGTATACCTTCGAAACTGAAATATTCCATATTAAATGTCAAGTCTGTATATGAAAGGCATCAAGTAGATCCACATTTTATATGAACATTCAATTAACTTAACAACATCTATTTGTTTCATATGCAGTCAGATATCGCTTATTTTTTCATGTATATACTTATTTCAGCAAGCCCGTTTTAAAGAAGCTGCACAATTACTAGAGCGCATGCGCAAAGTTGTACAGGCAAAACCAGACGATCTTTTTTTCCGCCAGACCTGGTACAGAATGGCTGCGCGCCAGTATCTGGAGTCAAGAAACTATGACGTAAGCATTTAGATACCCGTGCTTACTTCCCTGTTCCGTTACAGTCTATGTCTGAGTTTTCTTTCTTTTCAACAGTATTTCTTTCCGCGGTCCTCTGATTACTTGTGTGGTCTCCTTTAAAAGAAATGGAAGTTCAGGACATGGTCATGAACCAATATGTTATTTGACAATGTTGAAGTGGTTGTAAATAATAATAATAATAATAATAATAATAATAATAATAATAATAATAATAACAATGGTGATGACAATTAATTAACCAATTTATTTATTTATAAATAATACAGTTCCTTCTATCTTCTTTCTAAGGTGGGCCCGGTGATTTTTGATCCTCCCTCCTACGTTCCGCTGGAAAGCGACATGTTTTGGTCTTCATTTACGGAAGCTGGGTACCTGCAGTCTAGGGCAATGCAAGCCATGCAATTAAAGTTTGCAAACGCTACACAGTTAACTAACGACGCTCTCACCCGTATTGATGCTCTGATCAGTGCAACAGAACCGAAGGCGTCTTGGGATTACGTCACCAAAGCTGTGAAGATACTGAAACTGCAACTACAGGCAGCTAGGGAAATCAGGTATGGTCAGAGGTTGGATACCTTACGGTATACAATTTCATATTCATCGTTTCTTATTTCTGAATTACTCTCGTAAAAGAGATCGATACTAGTAAACGTCAATCAAAAAAAGAAAAATGAAATAAATTCAGAATTTAGGGTTTGTATTTAGGGTTTGTAATTTTCTTAACAATTTTGGACATGGTGGGTCTTCATACTCTACCAAGTACACAGTTTTATATAAATAATTGAATGAGTTATGTGAATAATAAAGGTGTACAAAAAAAATGGACAAGTCTTCCAAATTCTATTCCAGTGGCGGTAAATCCCCAGAAGCTCTCAAACTGATGCAGGAAGCTACTGGCATCCAGGACACCATGGTTCTGCTGCCAAGTAGCCCCACTCTCCTGTTTATACCAACCTACGAATTCTACGGAGACATCATGCACGAATACGGCAACGAGCCAGCAACGGCCCTCTATGTCCAGTCTCAGGCCATGTACCCAAACAGAGCTGGTTTGTATTTTAAAATCCTATAACATCGAAAACTGATCGTATGACATTATTTTGTAAGCAATTTCATGATTGATTTTAGGAAACAAATTTGCAATATTTAATAATGAATTTGATTTTAAAGGGATTGAACTTTTGCAGACATTCTATATGTATATAAAACATCGGGGCATCATTTAACTTGCACTTATAGAGTGATCTATTAGGTGGATCTAGTTATGATGTCATGGATTGTAGTCATTGCAGGGAATGGTTTCAACATTACCAGGAACTGTCTTACACGAAGCTCGCAGCGACAGCTGATCTCGTGTATTAATACTGACATTTCATGCATGTAAATCTTGATATCAGTACATTTTCCCGACCTTGGCATTGTCTTTTCAGCCACGGTGCTCGGTTTGGCGAGATCCTACAGGAAGGAAAAGAAAGCATCCCAGGCTCAAGATCAATACAGAAAGTTACACGAAGAAATATGGGTGGACAGTGACACGGAGTTCGGCGCCAGGAGTGAAGTGAAAGAAGAAGCCATGGCCTCGAGTGACGAAATGTTGATTTGGATCATACTTGGTGCTAGTTTAGGCGGCCTATTCCTACTTATCGTCATAGTTGTGGTTAGTAATGACGCGGTTTATGACGTCATATAGACCATACCCAGAGACTATCGTAGTACCTTTGGATCGATTCCCGCTTAATTGCTATCTAATTTAGCGGCTTAGATGTGTGTCACGCATAGTAAATCTGCTATGGGGGGATTAATGATCGTTCAGCAGCTTCATTAGGAGTGCCAGACTTCTCAACCGCTTAAGCTGAAAGCAATTTATCAAAAAAAAAAAAAAAAAAAAAAAAAAAAAAAACTTGTAGATGGACCGATCCTGTTAGATCGATCTAAGGATGGTACCCAGTCATACATTGGTAGTTGGTGAATATAAGCTCATACTGAGTTATTGTTAAAATACTACATTAGACATGGTAACGGAAGAAAAGACCTTAATAATTTTTGATAGTTTTAAAAATTAACAGCACAAATATGTTCTCTTTTTTCAGTTGGCGGCCTACTGCGCAAATAAATCCAAGAGCAAGTCTGAGAATCAACAACTGTCGACACTGCAGCGACAACGGGATCAGGTTTATACAGTGGAGGGGCACGCTAATCCCGCATATACCAATTAACCTCTTTCTGAGTTGTTCCGCCGAAGACGCACATCTGTTTATTTGTAGAAAGTTAACTTCCTTTTGGGAGAAAAAAAAACATGGGTTTTGAAGAAATTGATAATAACCGACTGAATTAAGCCATTATTGAAAAAAGGCGTTAAAGTAACTTTTAAAGATAAAAGTAATTTTTCCAGTAAAAAAAAAAAATATATATATATATATATATATATATAAATCGGCCATGAGTTTTTTTAACGGTTCTGCATATTTTCTGGCATCGCTGCAACTATGCACTGACATCTCGTCTTGTTTATGACGCCATTGATTGCTGTCAGTGTAGTGGTAGTGACAATGCCTTCTTGGTATTTTATAGGTCATGTTTAGCTTATTATTAGGGATAATTCTATGCAGAGATTGTGTTGATGGATTATTTACAATTTACAACTAAAGTTTCGAAGCCGCCAGGTATTGCTCCACCGGCAAGGTTGAGCTTATGCAAGTTAAATGGTAGCTCTGGATGTACGTGATTTAGTTGTGGAGAAATACGGGTTGAGAAATATGCGAGGTTCATGTTACTGTAAAGAACACTAGGAAAAGGTTAAATATGATGACGTTTTGAGGCGTTCATTATATGACTTTGTATTCAAGTTCAGTTGTAACTATGAGCGTATTTCCGTCAGTTTTTTGGAGATATAAGGGTTGGAAAATTTGCAAAATTAATTATATGATGAAAAGAGGTATAATTTCATATCCAAGGTCACATATCGTCTATATATACTGACAGTCAATGAAAACGCATCAGAAACTTTCTTGTACTTTTTTGGCCGAGAATCGATTCCAACCATATAAACGAGTTCAAATGCACTTGTTTGATCATAAGAGAGTGCATTTGTACTCGGAAGTTTAAATTTTCCGCTTCAGTGATTTTGTGATCAGCTGTTACAAAATAATGCGTTTTTCCTGTCTCGCGATTGGTGTGAATTAATCAGGTTCAATATGTGGTGATTAATTAAGCCTATTTAAGGTAGTCACCAAATCCAGTATGACACATGACAAAAAAAAAAAAAAAAAAAAAAAAAAAAAAAAAAAAAAAAAAAAACAGTGATGCTACGTCTGGCACTAGGGATGCTGGAGGCTGGGTGGAACCAAAGATATTTGATCACGTGACCTTGCATTTTAATGATCTTTTCTGACCTTTATTTCACCTTGTGTGACTGAATAATGGGTCATATTTCACACGAAAACTGTTTTGTTGCACTGGGATCGCAGAGACTGAATAGGAATCAGTGTTCCCGGACACGAAGTTCGATGTCCCGTACGATAAGGTGGAGAACAGTTGGTACTAACAGGTTGCGTTAAGGGCAATTACCTGAACAAACTACACGTATTTAAGGGAACGGACTACGAATCCCAAAATTGGATCCGAACATTTCTGTCACAATATGATCATGTTAAATATGCCAACACTTAAAATCCCACCCATTTTATTTACTTTTTCGATGTGTTTTCAATGTGTTGATCATAACACTACATACTTCGATATAAATGTTCAGCTTAAATATTATACTGCCACAGGTATTGTTCAAAACCATTCCCCGTTGAAAATAATTCTACCGCATTTTTGCTATTTAGCAGACATATCATGAAATGTTTTTAATCAGTCATCAAGACAAACACATCAAAATACCGGTAGAATGGATTGTGTTTTGTTGTCATTTGTCGTCTGCTTCTTGCAAAATGAAGCAGGCTTCCAGCAAGAGGCAGAGAAAACCCAATTGGAGCCAAGAAGAAATTTTATTGCTTATTTAGCTTTGTAAAATCATAATGACATCATAAGGAACAAGCACATTTCCACCTTGAATAACTAGGCAAAGGTGGAAGTATGGGAATTCATTTCAAATTCATTTCAACATAAATACCATCAGTGACAGTCTCCATTAGAAGTTCCGCAGAATGTCGTAATAAATGGAGACACATGGTATCCTATGTGAAAAAAGTCTCATAACCAATTGAAGAACCACGGAAACTGCACTGGAAGTGGACAACCACCTCCAGAGCTTTCTCCAACTAAGAAGAGAATTGCAAACATGTATGCGAGAACTCCAGTCTTTGATGGCTTGAAAGGTGGATTGGAGATTGGTGTTTAGATTTATTTTCTTTTTCTAAAAAAAACATATATTCATAATGTACCAGAAAATAATGAAATATTGTAAAAAAAATATACATACATAAACTCTCCCTCTTACCATTTCATGCTCTTGTGTGTAAAGCTCCACAAAATCACAAGCCTTAACATTTTACATTATACATACCTTGGCAATAAAACTAATGAGCAATCCAGTCTCATGGAATCCAGTCTAATGAATTCTAATCACATCATATCCGCAAAGAACGCAGACAATAAACAGCTGTGGCGATCAAGCTTTATTAAACAAACAACACCTTGGAATGAATCACATCACGTTTCTTCCCACTTTTCTGCGAACTGTAATCCTTCAACATATCATCCACAACTGTTGTATCTTACATAAACCCCCAAGTAAACTCTGCATGTCTTACAAACTTGAAGAACGGCATCAATCGACAGCAGAAATACTGAACACGAACGCGCATTGAAATTTTGATCACGTGCTTTCATTCGACACAATCGATTAGAAAATATATGCTGCTCAACTAAGGGAATCAGATGAAATCAAGATCGCGCTGGCAATACCGGAATCTAGAACCTAGAGTAGGCATGTTTTGATTTTCAAAGTTAATTATGTTCTGTCCAAAGACATAAAAAATGGAAGAACATGAGAACATAATGGACACTCGTTTAGTGCTGTATGCGCTGCTACTGTTCTCTGCATTTCTCAAGAACCCATACGCATTCATAAAATAACTCATTTATTATTTTTCAGAGCTCCATATTCCTAACTCTACGGGTAGATAGTAAAAAAAAAAACGATGTGAAAAATAGAATTTTTTAATCCCCAAAGCCTTATGTGCCTAATTTTAAAGACCCAAGGGTAGATAACAATGTCAAATTAGAATCCACCGCCCAAGACAATACCCCAAGTAAAGTCATATATAGGAAGCTAAGACGTATACGTACATGTACTTTCATTTGGTAAGGTTCTGTCTTTGCTCTGGTAAAAAGGTATTTTCTTTGGGAACCTTTAAGTTTTTTTTTAATTGCTGCCACCAATACGACTTACTTCAGTTTTAAAACCGCACAGCACTTAAATGTTTTTTTTCTTTCATTTTCTAAGAACGTTTTCCTTTCCAATCACATCTGTCTATATCTGGAACCAGCTACTTTACTCTCTGCTGCTGTTTATTGCCTTGAGTCTAAAATACACACACTACCCTGCTGTACTGCTACACTGCTTTCTGGCTAGTTTCTATACTCTATACTGGCAAACAAAGCGCAGAGCAGCTGTATTTACTGTATTTACCCCTTAATCGGTTCACCGCACAGTTGATTAGTATGCAGGCGGGGAAAAGTGGGCGAACCTTGAACGGTTGACCACTAACCCCTCCACTGCATGCCCCTGTTTAGGAAACTGATGCCGCTTACAAGCCATACCAACTTAAAGTTCAAAGACAAAACAACACTTGTTGAATGTGAAAAGGGCTATATATAGCTTAGTACGTGCAATGACTTTTGCCCTTAAACCAAAACTATGTGAACTCGTTACAATATTACATTTCACACCCAGATAAACTGCATTTGGTTTCAAACTAGTATTCAATTACATCCTGATTACATGGAGTTATTGCAATTGTCCATCATGAGGCGCGAACTTTTGTTTGAATATACCAATCACTAAATATTCCATTAACAATTTTACTGATAAAGTTAAGCATGAAAATAAGTTAAATCTTAAAGTAACGGGAGAGACGAGGAGAAATCGGTCATGATAGAAGCTTCGAGTTGACCATGCTTATACCATGTGACATTTAGTTTAGCAAAATGTAAATTATGTGGAAGTTAGAAACATAATGAGTCCTATCATTTTATATTTTCAAGTTAAGGATAAGCAAAATGAAATAAAGCACATGTTTAAAAAAAAAATAATAAATACATTTATTATGATATTAACTTATTATTTCTGATGTAATACTGAAATTTCAATCTATCCAGTCATATTATAATCTTGAATTCTAATTTGGCTAAGGTCGATGTAAAACCTGGCTGTATTTTTAACAATCTGAACAATCAATGTTGTTTATTAACCAGACAACCAAGGCGGCGAACGTGTGACCTAGCACGTGATGTGATCTGTTTACAGTCAGCTGGTTGAGCACGGAACGTCGATATAGAGAAAGTTGCTTTTTTTAACTAGATCACAATCTATAAGCGACGTAAAGTAAGTCAAATAAGTCGCAAGTCTTGAAAAATCTTAGAGATTGTTATTTTGTTTTTTCATTTTTTAGAGTTCGTCATCTCTGCTAAAATCACCAACTTTTTTAGTTTTGATGTGACATATGGTGAGAAAGGAAACATTTATTCCAGTGAAGAATTAGCAAGAGAATGCATATTTACTAATACCCCCTTTACACTGGACGGCGTCCTTTCTGCGTCCTTACTGCGACCATGAAATTTGGCATCGCTGTGGTCTAAATAAGGAGGCACGAGCATTGATTCTGTTTCAGAATGAATGCTCAATGATCGGCCAGTTATCGGCATGTAAAGTATTATAATTTTAACTCTCAAATGGGGCCGTACTGCTGGACGCAGAAAGGACGCCGTCCAGTGTAAAGGGGGCTTAAAAGACTCTACTCCTTTTCTTTCTTTGCCTAGAACTGTTATTGTCATTAGTTCTAAATATAACCCTCCCGCTTGGAAACGAATGTACTTAATATATACAGAATTGTGACATTTAATTGTTACTGTGCTTTGTATCCCGGTGTTAATTTTAAAATAAAGATAATATCTGATTATGGATTATAATCTTGAAATTCTAATTTGGTCTGGGCCGATGTAAAATCTGACTGGATTTCAATCTGGCCTGATACATTGTTTTAGTGACCCAGAAAAACAAGACGGCTAGCGTGTGACCTTGCACGTGAAGTGATCTGATTAGAGTCAGCTGTTTCTTAAAGCAAACAAAAACACACAAGGCAATTAAGATAAGCGCGCGCTCATTAAATATCAATATGGTAATGCGATCAGTGTCGTTGCATTTTTACCAGGCACGTTCACTGA